CAACTCCCAGAATTCCCCAGCCAGCTGGCTGGGGAATTCTGGGAGTTGAAGTCCACCCATCTTCAAGTCGCTGAAGTTGAGAAGCACAGTTGTATACCATGATTTTCAATATATAGCATTACATCCAACTCTCAACATTATGTCTCATTTAGATTTTAGTGTAATATGTATTTTAGCATCTTTTACTCAGGTTTTAGTGTGTTGTATATTTATAGATGAAGTTTAATGATGTTGGTAGAAGCACAAAGATTGCGGATGTTTTTTCTCTTCCCTAGAATTCTTCAAGTGCACCTGACTTTCGCGATCGTTGCTGGTTGAAGGGGTTAGAATTCGCATCCATTGAATCTGGCAAGATGACGTGTGTGCCTCCAGATGCTGGGCTGGGAGTCGCATCTTTCCTACAACTAGCCCTGATCCTAAGATTGTCTCCTTTGCTCAACCAAGCGATAAAGTAGACAAAGCCCTCGTGTGAACCTCAAGACAAAATACAACTACCAGCCAATTGTAGCCCCCACCTCATTGTGGAGGAACCGGAGGTGTGGAGCATTCTGAGGAAAGGCTGCCGGTCCTGAAGGTATCTCTGGCCGGGTGCTCAGAGACTGTGCTGATCAGTTGGCTGGAGTCTTTACCAGGATCTTCAATCGGTCTTTATCCCAGTCCACCATTCCATCTTGTTTGAAGGCCATTGTTCCGCTGCCAAAGAAGTTCCCTATCAATAACATCAGTGGCACTCATTCCTATCATCATGAAGTGCTTTGAGAAAATGGTCTGCCGGCACATCATTTCTGGTCTTCCACGTACATTTGATAAACATCAGTTTGCATACAGAAAAAATAGATCTACAGAGGACGCTATAGCCATCACTCTTCACACTGCTCTGATCCATCTAGAATAGCGGGAGGGCTATGTGAGGATGCTTTTTGGGGATTTTAGTTTTGCGTTTAACACAATTCTTCCACATAGACTAGTGTCTAAACCTCTGGATCTTGGGCTTTCTAATTCAATCAGCCTTTGGATTATGGATTTCCTGTCTGGCCGCTCACAGAGGGTCAGATTAGGTAATCATACCTCTTCAGCCCTAATTCTTAACACTGGTACACCACAGGGTTGCATGTTGAGTCCCTTATTCTATACTCTTTATGTGCATGACTGCATTTCCACTCACGCTGGTAATACTGTTGCAGAAAAGAGGGACCACACCAGCTCTTTGTCTCAGGGAAACATTTATTGAGCAAGGTTCAGCAGCATTTGCAAACTCAAGGTCTGAACCCCGAAGGGTAGTTACACACAAGTTTTTATACCTTGCAAACCTGGATATTGATTGTTGTGTAAAAATACACCCTCTTCCTGGGTCACGTAGGCCAGGGGTTTCTGCCATTTGGTCACATATACATCAACCCCTGGTGATAATAGAACAGGATACATTAGCCATGCCTGACTACCATATAAAAATATAAGTTTGCCAATTTCCTGGTCACTTTGTTTCTGCCTAGTAAGGCAGATAGAGTAATTTATTTCCTTGTCACATGGTCAATGGAGTCTGGCTGTTGTTGTCCAGTCCAATCTTATCTGGATGCCAACTTTCTACTTTATTACTATTGCTAAATTTGCAGATGATACAACAGTGGTGGGACTTATCTCGGGGGCGGGGGGATGAGTCTGCCTACCGAGATGAGATGGACCAGTTGCTTTCGTGGTATGGAGACAATAACTTGGTCCTCAACACCAGTAAGATCAAGGAACTTATAGTGTACTATACAAGAAACAGATCAGACATCCAGCCCTTGCTTATCAATGGAGACCGAGTGAAGCAAGCGGCCAGTTTTAAGTTTCTGGGTGTTACCCTAAAAGAGGACCAGACCTGGGGTGCCCACATTGCAGCCCTGGTCAAAAGGGCCCAACAGAGATTATACTACCTGAGACTTCTCAGAAAACAACAACTGAATGAAAAACTGCTGGTGACCTTCTCCCGCTGCACCATGTGTATTTGTGTTTATTTTCATGGTCATGATGTATACTGAAGATGGTGTTTGATTTAGTTGTACGAGGTGCAATGACAATAAAGTAAACTAAACTAAACTGTCTTTTATTTGCCATCTTTGGGAATAAAATTCACCAGATTATCGTTAATGTTAGTAGTCTCAAAGGTGCTTCTTCAAAAGGCAACTGGATTGTTTTTTTTCATTGAGGAAATTAATGTCAGTGCAGAGGAATCACTGAATGACAAGGATGCACCTGTTCTTCTGACAGTATTGTGTTTGGAAGTTAGTATGACACCAAGAATTATGGACTTTTATGTATAGGGAATGGCCAAGGTAGAAACACATGGGAGTATGAATGTGTTTAACCTAAATTGAGGCAAATATTTAGAAACAGAAATGGAGTACAGGATCTTCGCGATTCCTTCTGTTGTTTCTGCAAAAGAAGAAAATAATTATTGAAGGAAAGAAGTACCTTTCTCTAAGACTGTGTGCCTTTCCTCAAGTACAACCTCCTCAGAACTGGACAAGTCTATTTATTGATTAATTTGATTTAATTGATTTGTCAATCACTCACAAGATAATAGGTATAAGAATAAACCTGAGTATAAATATAGGAAATAGGTACAAATAAATGGGGACAATAGGACAGGGATGGTAGGCACGATGGTGTGCTTATGCATGCCCCTTACAGACCTCTTAGGAATGGGGTGAGGTCAATAGTGTTTAGGTTAAGGGTAAAGGAGTGCGGGTTTGAGGATGTGACAACAGAGTCAGGTAGTGCATTCCAGGCATTGACCACTCTGTTGCTGAAATTGTACTTCCTGCAATCAAGTTTGGAGCGGTTTACATTGAGTTTGTATTCTATAGAAGACAACTCTACAGGAAAGGAAATGTCAATTTATTTATATTGACTATTTCCTGGTATGATTTTATTGCTAATTGTATCCTATGACGATTATTAAGTGTTGTACCTGATGATTCTTGACGAATGTATCTTTTCTTTTATGTACACTGAAAGCATTTGCACCAAGACAAATTCCTTGGCCAATAAAGTATTCTATCATCTATCTATCTATCTATCTATCTATCTATCTATCTATCTATCTATC